TCATCTCAGATAATATTCGACATCCATTTTCATGTTTAAGAACTCAGGACTCTCCCCAGAAGTAAGCTGATATCTCAAAAATCAAGAAAATTCTTAGACAACCTATTCAAATATAGACAGCATCTTGACATCTTTAAATATGATATAGCTTATATTTTCTCTAAAAGATGCAAACACACTAGACTTCCTCTAATGCTGTAAAGCTTAGGAGTAGAAGGTGAAAGAACTCTTCTAACACTTTGGCTAACATCAGCTCTCAAATCTTCCTTTTAAAGTTTTTCAGCATCTTAGGAATCCAGAGACTTGGAATATTATTTTTTATAGTTTTGAGTTTTAGAGTACCACTCTAAATCCTTTATATATGAGGATCTTTGATCAAATTTCTGGTGTGATATACAAAAGAGTGGAGAGATGCATATCCTTTCCTAAGTGAGCAGAGAAGGAGAATGGTGAGTGACCTCATTTCATGGGACAGGATTCGTGGTCACACCTATGCCTGCTTGTTCACCACACCCTTGCACCACGTGGCTCCTAACCCCTGAACTCACTCCACTGGCAAGAGGGTGCATGGACTTCATCACATTCGCTGAGTCCCAGCACACTCAACATACAGCTTAAAGAACTTGTAGTGTCTGCTATTGAATGGATGTTTAATGTATCTTTCATTATATTCAAGCTTCTCTTTCCTATAAAGGGAACAAGAAAAAGAGAGTGCAGTTCATCTTATCTGTTAAAAAACAGGTGGACAAAAAGAACTTGTTGTAGAAGTATGACAAAGACCCACCGAGTCACAGAATGGCCCATCTGGTTAAAAATAACAAAGAAAGTACTAGAAAAATGCTGGTTTAAAAATTTTTTTTAACGGGTGTGATAGCTGATAATATGGGCATGGTAGCACAACTGGCTGGAGTGCTGACTTACAAGTTTGAAGACTTTTAGGGAAAGAGACACAAATGCTGCTCCCAACACTCAGTATTTTCTTTGCTACTTCAACATTTGCTCCCGTTTGTCGGCAGATCAAGACAAACATTGTAGTCTCTCAACTCTTTTTGATACATTTTTCAAAAGGCTTGTTTTTACATTAAACCACGGCCTTGCACATAATCACAAATCAAGAGTATCCAGGAATGCCCATCCACGAGAAGTAAACTAGGAAATGAAGAGAAGGTGGTGGTTGTCAGCAGATACCAAGAAGTCCTTGAATCTTTTGCTGAAGATCTCAGAAGACCTTTAGCTGTGGGAGGACTGTCCCTGTGTCTAGCCTTCCTCCTAATATTAGAGGAAGTGAGCTATGTGGCTGGAGACGAATTTGGTCACAGAGGTATCTGAGGCACTGAGTTAGGGAAATGTAAACATCAAACCAGTGTAAACTCCACAGAAATGGATTCTGTATCAGAAAGGAGTCATGTACTTTTAAAGTGGGTCTCCAAAATACAGTATGGTTTTCTGATTGATTGGGAGATAATTAGTAACAGGACACATTGTGGCTAAAAATATATACTCTTCTGGAATACAAAAACATGGAGTTCCATATCATGGTAGAAGATCAGTTTGAAATTATAAAATGAATTAATACAGAACTATTAATACTGAAATAATGAGAGAGGGAATTTCTAACAATGGATTACATTAATGGATTTTGGGTCAGATGCCAAATTTCACTGAGAAAATATATTTTTTTTAGACAAGGTTTTATTTGTAAGTAGAATAATATTTTCTTTCCAGTCTTAAATTTCATTCCTGTTGAGATTGTTACCCAATAATTGTTATTTTTACAAGCATAGTTCTATCATTATAGGCACCATCACCTTCTGCTTCATGCTACAGCTATCAAATAATGATCTTAAAACAGACCCTGAAAAAATACTCATTAAATAACTGACAGTGACAGAATCTTGGCATAAGGAAATCAATCACGTAACTGGAAAATGAAGAGGAACTAAAAGACATATCAAAACAAAATAATTGCTTTGGCATTTTATAAAGAACAAACAATCCCTGTTAGGCAAATGCAGGGGACATCACAATTTGCATCCAAAGAAGAAATTATCATGACCACAAAAGTTCACCAAACTTTGCCACAGCAGTGGTTATATCATTCCCCGCCACTTTCTTTCCAGAGGAAATATCTTAAGTAATAATTGTCTATCTTCATGGCACAGGCACTGAGATTTTGAAGAACATTCTAGAGAAAACACCTTTGGAGGGGAAAGCCAACCATGATCCATCTTAGAAGCTGGTGTGGTGCTGCAGAAGTCAGAGGTGCTGGGCACTGAGAGCTACATGGGGACTGATCCCATCAAAGCTTCCAGACTGTTCTGACTTGGGGCACATTGATGGTAAACCATCCTGTGAACCTTACAGACAGACATTCCCTTGGATCTGCCTATGCTTATGATACTGACGAGGAGGAAGGTGCTGGTATTTTGTTTCTAATGTATATAATTTAACAAATTAAATGTGTAGAGAGCATGGAAAAACTAGGTGTAGCTGGAAAAAAATTTTAAGAGGAACCATCCTATAAAAAAAAACCCTATACTCAAAATGGAAAATTGTATTACATTGCCTTTGTTATTGATAACATTCTTAATATTGTCATAGGAATGGCTTATGGATATCAGAAAATGAGGTAACAAAATGAGTGTAATATTAGTTTAGATGATGTTGAGAACTGGCCAATGGAAAATACTTTGTGACAATACTTAGAAAAGACAGCTTATATAAAAAAAAGAACAATTTGCCACAATTTTGGTGAGATAAGATAGATCTCTGTTCCTGTTCACTCCTCAAATACAGCTGAACCATAGGTGTTCTTTTGCCTTAGGCAAAATAAAAAAATAAAGACATTTTAATAAGGAGATATCTTCAATTTCTATGTGATTAATCATTTGAAAATCTAGAGTGACCACAGAGCTGCTCCATCCTTATTCTGAAGTTGCTGATCTACAAATAATACACCTGCATTTCCACAATGGTTTTCAAAGCCAAGGTCCAGGGAAGGTATGTGATTTAGAGTCTCCCAGATTTTTGTAAACAAAGGAAACCCACAATTGATAGTCACTTTTGGTTTTACATCACCAACACAATTTATGTTTTTTTAAAAAAAATTTTAGATAGATTTTCTTGACAACATTTTTAAAAGAGATACTTAGTAAACAGCAATAGTTTATTTCTCCTTGTGAGTATTTATCAAGATATGCTATAGAAAATGAAACGTGAAGCTGAACACCACCCCCATGGATTCCGAAAATTTTGTTTGAAATAGAAACCTCTGGAGAGCCTCCTAATCCCAACGAATAATGTCAGCTTCTAATTGGCTTGAGTGAAATTTGGCTAAGTAGCTTTTCCAGGCATCTGGACAGATACATTTACTCTCAGCTATCCAAATGCCATATCCCCATACTTTCCTTTCTCCTTTAGGCAATCACTTCTACTCTGCCATCATAGTTCTGTTCTGGTCTATCTGCCACTTGTTAGGAATATAAAAAATGGCATTGTTATGCAACCTCCTCATTTTAGCAGAAATCTGACAATCACCCTCTCACAAACCTAGCAGCACTTGAGCATTTTAGTGTCGTTTATTGGCTATGCACAGTACTGTCATTCTTTTATGAGCTCTATAGACTTCTTCATTGTATAACCATTGTTGCTATTATATTTTCCCCAATGCAAATGTGGAACTAGGTATCAGATTCCGTACAAGAAGTAAACATAATCTTTTTGAAAGGCAACTTTCCATGTTCACCTTGAGTCATCCTTCCTTCTCCAATGTGAAAAGGCAATGTTTGTTCTCATTTAAAACTCACCAACATTTCTTTCTTATATTTTCTCTTATATGCTCAACTTCTTTATTAAAAAAAAAAAAAGCATCCATGATGGTGAGATCACCTTTAAAAAAAAAATCTTTGATTTGTGTTTAGAAGGGGGGCTCAAGGAGGATTGGTCAATTTGTTTGAACACTGTTGACTACTCTGATTTCTTAAAACAGATCTGGCAGAAAAAGAAAGACATGCCATTGTTCAGGGTATACTCAACAATGACTGTGTGGCTTATCATTGCTTTGGGGAGGAATATTTGGGTGGGGTTCTTGATTATCAGTTCCTAGGGAGAGTTTAGCAGGCACATTTCTTCTCTGCGGGCTTTTCCCCGTCTAGCTTTCCAGAATTTCCACCATTGACAGTGTCGGGGACTTGTGTCTTCTCCACACACTGTTCCATTCGCTTCATTATTAAGTCCAGAAGGGTTTCCACAGATTTCTCTACATTCTGTCCTGTCGCAGCACTTGTTTCAAAATATGGTATGCTAGCAGAGAAAAGATCACACATATATTGTCAGATAAAACCGTACGCGTGCATCCTATTAAAAAATGTTTTGAAGTACATACATGGTGAAATGGTTAAATCTAGCTAATGAACAAATCTATTACCTCACCCAGTTATCATTTTTATGTTAGCACTCTCTCTCTCTCTCTGTGCATTTTTCACGAATACGACTTATCATTATTACATAGAGTCACTCTGCCGTTGAATACACTTCTGGAACTTACTGTAGTCTCAAAAAAATGCCAAGAAAAGTGGATGTTCGGAATTCTCGCACAGAATGCTAATGATAAATATTTTTAAGAGGAAGAAATCACACATGCAAAAACATGGCTGGCAGAGAGATTGTGAAATCGTGTTTTCACAGGATACATTGGAAAACATCCTTGCTTTTTCTCAGTTAAGTAAAAAATTAGTGGGCTGATCTTTAGGATGGCTATCATCAGTTTTATGGACAAGGCAACCTCTGCAGGAGGCTGTCAGGATGTTGAAGCCAAAGTGTTATCATTCTTTTAAAAACTAGGAGGGAGGAAATGCCCAAACTTGTGACTGAAACCACCGTAAAAATATTACTTCCCTTCCAATCAATCATTTAGAAATCTAATTTAGAAATGAGACATGCACTGAATGGATATTCACGTGAATGCAGCCTATATTTATTTAGAATGAACAATTCTGAGATGTAAAATTTACAACTCCAAATAAGAATCCTTTAGTACAAAATTGGCAGATAGTATGAAATTGCTTTAAACTTAAAAATTAATGACAAATTTGGGGGATGGGTCTGTTGCTCAGTGGTAGAGCACTTGCCTAGCACATGTGAGGCACTGGGTTCGATCCTCAGCACTACAGAGAAATAAATAAACAAAGGTTTTGTGTATATCTATAAAAAAATTAAAAATTTTAATGACAAATTTTATGGTGGAAGTCCTCTTTTAAGTACATAGATCTCTTTTTGGTCTTGTTTCTGGGTATCATTCAAGCTCAGGACAAGGGCTACATTACCATGTCCATGTCAGATACTACTCTTTAGACTTGTGTAATTATTGAGCAACAGGATACTGTTTTTAAGCACATGAGCTGCTATCATAAGCTGTCCGAACTTAATTTAAGTTCTGTTCCTTACTAGTTATATGGCCTTCTATCAGGTACTCAGTCTCTTAGTGATTCAATCTTTCATGTACAAAATGGAATTACTCCAGTATCTCCATGTGGTGATAAGGAGTTAAATGAGTTAAAGCCTAGGAACAGTTGCTAGCATATATGAGAATTCAGTAAATGTCACCTGCTATTATTATTAAGTAAAGCATTAAACTATCACATATTTCTTTGGAGGGTCTTTTTCAGCTCACATCCTGTTCTTGATCCAAGGAGATTCCTTCAAACACCAATCTCGTGTCTGCTCCACTCATTGGGCAGCAGAGTTCTAGGTCAGAGCGTTCTTGGTGGAACTGACTTACCCATATTTTTCAGCCAGGTCCCGGGCTTGCCGTTCATTGACTTCCCTCTGGTCTGGCAGGTCTGCCTTGTTGCCAATTAATACTATATCTGGATTTTCACAGTAAGCATTTGCTTGCAGTTGGCCTTGGAAAGGAAGCAGATGGAACCAGCAAGTTAGATGTAAACAAGCAATGTCAAATGACTGCTCATACTCCAGATTCTAATCGAATTGTTCATCTGCAGTTTGGTTGCTTACTAGTAATTAGCCAAGTCACTTACACTTCTCAGTCACAGTTTCCTTGTCTATAAAATGGAGACAATGCCTCACAAACTGCAGACAATGAATAATGTCCAAGAAGTACCTGCATCAATAGCTCTCTGTGTTCTTCTACATCCAGGGAAATGCCCAGAGCTCAGCATACCACCGCATACCATTTGCTCCCCAGATACAAGCGGAGGTACCAGAACACAATTTGAAGCTATTTAAATCTGCTTATTCCATTAGGAAG